CTGAAAATATAGATTCAGGTGCTACCCAGCACACCAATGGAAAGAAAGTGAATGATTAATCAAGATGGACTCAAGAATTGCATGATTCGGAGTCCGGATGAAGGAGAAACGGCAAAACAACGAAAAACGAACATACAAAGCAAAAAGGGTAAACTAATAATTATCCAGGAAGATCCGGGTGCAACCGGGAACACCGTTGGAAATATAGCAAAAAAATAGTCAAGTTCAAAATTTTTTTTACTCAATTTGGAGTCCGGACGACTGAGAAATGTCAAACACAAAAAGAGGGTCATGACAGTTACAGTGCCGTCGATCTACTGCTGCTGCAACTGAGAGTAAAAACGGGCATCTAAACGGACTTTTTTGGAAAAAAATCAAAAAAGAAAACCCCTCTAAAATCAAGTTTTCTACCCATCAGAGTGGACGAAAAAAAAAAAAAAATGCATTGTAAAATGCCTAGAATGCCCCCAAGAAAATTAGGTCAAGAGGTAAAAATCCTTCCGAGCTGCTGCCCAAGGAAAGGAAATGGGACTTTGAGATGTTTTTAAATTGCCTAAATTGAAAATGCAATCTTAAAATACACCCATAAGACCCTCAAAAGTTTCGGATTGGTCATCACACTTTTCAAAAAAAAGTCGACGAATAGTACCAAGTACACTTGTATTAAAAATCAGCAAAAACCTGGCATCAAGGATTTTTCGGAAAAAAATAGGTTTTTGAGGGCCAAGATGACGTTTTCTGGAAAAACACAAAGAAGAAACCCCTTCCGAAATCGAGTTTTCTACCCGCTATTGCGGACTAAAATGAAAAAAAAAAAATACATTGTGAAATACCCGAAATGCCCCTAGTTCTTTTATTTAACTTCTGTGGCAACTTTGCTGCCACCGTGTCATTTGAATTTGCATTATCTACGGTGATAGTGCACACTTTTTCAATACCCCAACTTAATAAACATATATCAACGGCTTGTGCAATAACCTCACCACGATGTGGAGTTGAAAGTACACAAAAATTTATAATTTTTTTGTATAACTTCCAATCTCTATCAATAAAATGAGCCGTAAGGCATATGTACCCAAAGTTTTGAATAGAATTTTTTTCACTTAAATATAATTTAATACAGTCCTTCGTAATTGTGGTTCGTGAAATCATATGGAATTTTGGTTTTACATAACTCATAAACTTTTTAAAACCCTCATTTTCCACAAAACTAAATGGCAATCCATCAACAATAATCATCCTAGCAAGCTCTTTTCGAAGAACATCTTGGGCAAATGTCCAAGTGGGATCTTAGTTTTGGGTTGATGTTGAGAATTTTTCAACTTTATCCTTATTATAAGGATAATCACAACACCTATTAAGGTGCCTACTAAGGATAGTAGTACCATGACTACTCAGACAATTATATGGTTTGTGACAATAATTACATGTGGCTTTCATGTATGATCCGTCCTCCAACAATTTTCTTGTAAAATGGTCCCAAACATCTTTAAGAAATGCTTGCTGTAAAAACATAAAAATATATAAAGTATCTAACAATTACAAACCTGAATAATAAATATATTACACAAAATAAAAAAGAAAAAATGAAGAGAACAGTTTACTAAAGAAAAAATGAAGAGAACATTTAAAAGTCACCAAATTGCCTACTATATTTTTCAAATGACATCAATAATGGTGGTATCAAAGAAAAAATGGAATGAAACTTACAAATTTTCAAAAGTTCGATATGTTTTGATTGATGAAACAAAGAGTGTAAGTTTCAATGTTTTCTTTAACAAACATCAATCCAGCATGAACATGTAAAAAACATGTAAAACTTGTTATGCTACTAAGAAACTTTTTGTGCCATTAAGTAACTAAGAAGATTATATCTTCAAATCCAGACCATTAGGCCATCACTAATGATTTTTCATTCCACAAGATCAAGACTTAAAAGCAAATATCACTAAGAACTAAGCTCTATTTGATAACCGAATTCACGACTCAACTATGAAAGAAATTAAGTGCCCTTTGATAATATTTTTCAAATAACATCAACTGGTATGTATCTTCATATAAAAATAAAATTTAAAAAAACCATTAATTTGGCACTTTTAAGTATTGAGCATAATTTAAAGACCAAAAAAGTTAATTATTACCTCAACCCACTAGATAGGCATTACACACAGTGACACACACACACACACACACAAAACCCTAGTATTGGAACAAAGGAAAAGGCCCAAATCAAATGAAACAAAGAAAAAAAAATGTGATCAAAATTCAAAGATCCACATAAATTGAACAACATATATGTGTGAAATGATAATTGCATTGAGAATCGAAGACCCAAATAAGGAAAGAGTTTGAATTTAAAGAAAACCTGTTCTCTGGTGGAAAGAGCAGCGTTTTGACTTTCACGGGAGTCGCCGAGAGATGTGAGATAGAGGTGAGGGAGTCGCCGGTAGGTTGCTAGCTTTGCTGCTCGTTTCGACTTTTGCGGGAGATCGGTAGGAAGACGATATAGAGAGAGAAGAGAAAGATGAGGAGAGAGAAAGTTAGGGTTTGTGTTTATCAAGCAATGTCCAAACCTAAAGTTGATATAGAGAGACAAAAGAAGGATTTATGTTTAATTTAGGCTTTTGGGTTGGGTTTTGCGACTTAAACCCGAATTGTGAATTTATATGTCTAGATTTTAAAATTTATGGGCTGGACTCGGATTGGGCTGGGCTAGCCCGCCGAAGTTGCACTCCTAGATGGATAAAATATTTGTCTATTATCTATTAGACTTGAATATTCTATTATACTTGTTTGTCAATGGGTTTTTGTTTAATCATTAAAAGATAGATAAACTCATTTACCCATCTCACAGGGCTACAAACAAATCAAGCTGTCTAGAAAGTAAATTTAGTTTGTGTTCCTTTGTTAAAAACAAGGGGTTGAACTGTATTTCGAGCAAAAGCTGGTTTGATCTGCTTGTTAGGGTCTTGTGAACAAGATTTTTGTTCGTGAACTGAATTCTGGGCATGACTTTGTGGTGTTTATGTGGACCTTGAATATAGAAACAACTACTGTATTATCTTTCTTTATCAATCTTGGTCTAAAGCTCGGGTTTGGGCTTGGTCCCAAAGAACGGTCCCCAAAAATTGTATATGAGCTTGAACACTTTTTATCCCTGTTTTTCGTTTTAGCCCAATTTTCCTATGAAGATATTTTCAGTTAGGAATTCATAGAGGTCTCTCCAAGTGGAAAGAGAGGGCCTAGTGTGGATTAGAATTTAGGTGGCCAACTTGGGTGGATTGGATGTACAATTTAAGGCCAACTCGACGTAAAAAATGTTGAACACTTACTGGACATTCAACCTTACTATTCAAAGCCCAGTCCAACAGATTTATTTTTATTATTTTTAAAGTTGGGGTTGCAAGTTATAATGTTATTCGAGTTATTCAATCTCTCCACGTTGGAAATTTAATGTGATACCGAATTAGTTTTAGATTTAATTATTTCTAAACCTAAAAAGTTTTAAAAACTTATTGCAAACAAATTCTTAAAATATTAACTCTCCATACGATGGGCTAAGGTTTGCACATTCCTCCTAATTGTTAGATGAAGTGACCTATTTTCTGTCCGACTTGAACTCACCACTGTTCGTCGGAACAGTGTGCATGCTTCCTCCAAGGAGTAGGTATTTTCTCGAAGGCTTGGTACTCTAATCTATGAGATCTTTCAAGGCTCCACACGGGAGAGAAGAAAGGAGATGATAGTATTATTTATTGAAAAAAAAGAGAGGCTCCATATAGGATAGAAAAGAAATTAGATGATACTATTATTTATGAGAGAAGAGAAAAGAAAGGAAAGAAAATGATAATAATTGTGCCACTTTAAATAGACGTGACATGAGTGAAATAATAATAATTTCTTTCTTTTAATTATTGAGGGAAATTTTAAAATTTTGAAACTATAACTTAAACACTATCATTTCTCTCATTTTATCTTCTCATCTCATATTAGGGATAAGGAGGGAGAGTTATCTTACTCTATCCTTCATATCCTCTATTTTTAAAAAATCCAAACATAATCTACAATATCTTTTCTTTTCTCTCCTTATCCCATCGCACCAAATATCTCAATCCAAACGTACCCTTAAATGAAAGCAACAAAATGATGCAATTGTTTTAACAACCAATATATCTAATATCAAAGAGCCCGACCACACACAGTCCGGGAAAAGAAAAGTTGTTAATTTTATCACTGAAATTGTTAATTATTAGAAATTGTATATAAACTAATTAGTGTGCATATGCAAAATAAAAATGCTATTAAAATTTATATAGTAGTATTGATACGCCATGATATTGTGGTTTGATAATTGAGACACTTCCTCAATTTTTTTTAAAGTGTCAAAAAGCTTTTTATGTTTGGAAATTCAGAGAAATCAAGATACTAAAACCTGGATCCAATTGACCGAAAAACATATTGAACTTGTGTAAGGGGAAGAAAGAACCGTCTACTTCCAAAATTTAGCAGTTTTTTTTTATAAAAAAAACCAAGCTTGTCAGCGATGATAAATTGATCAAAAATCCAAAAAAGAAATTAATTTCCATGATAAAGGAACAATTATCACCTGCTACCACACACCCATTATTTTATCACCCAAATAAATAAATAAATAAAAATTAATCCATATATTTACCTTAAAGTCAGTTGCTCCAAACTATAATACTTGTTTAAATGAAATAAGTAAGATGCCCAATTATATATAGTAGCTTATTGAGTTACATCTTCAATGCACCCATGCTATAATCATATCCTTGCCAACCAAGAATTTATAATTAATTAATTAATTAGATACACATATATAAACAAGTATCTCATAACTTGTTCCTACCAACCATAATGAAGGTAAATAAAAAATAAAAAATAATAAATAATAATAAAAATTACTTGCTAAAAAAAATTACTTACCTAGATGAAAGGAGAAGAGGGACACCTAATTAGTAAGCCAAAACGAAATCATTCTACATTGTGCTGGGGGCAATCCAAACTGGATGTGGGTCAATGATCTTCAACCTTCTTGGATAAGATGGCTTTATGCAGTGATCCTCTAAGTGAAAGACGCCATTATCATGACCCCTGTATATTTTGTTAAATCCATCAAAGTAATCATCTGTGAAGTATATAGAATTCCCCATCAGCTCCGGATGATTGAGAGTAGAGAGAGAAAAAGAATTATTAGAACCCACAAACAATGCCCGATCACCTAAGCATTCCACAGGTTCCCACTTATTGTGATCAAAATCGAACCTATGAACATCAAATCCCAGAGTCCAATAAGCATCATCGTCGTGAAGGAAACAATTTTCTCGTTCGCCATTGTTATTCTCTATTTTCTTTTCCAACCTGCGGGGATGCGGAATGCCATTTTCAGTAACACTTACAGCTATAAACCTAGAAACCAGCAAAAGATCCCCGGAGGATTCAACTAAATAATCTGTCTCGTCACAATTATAAGATTCCGCAATTTTTCCCTCCTCAAACTTCCCTGGACAAAAGAGAGGATTATCAAACACATGTTTTTTGGGACAAGAAGGGTCTGTGAGGTCCCAAGCTTCAATGCTGAGATATGATCTCATGGCATAAAATCGCTGATCCTTGCTGAAATATATGATGTCAATATAAGGTCCGACGGAAGTGTCCAAGGTGGTCCAGCTATGGTCGCCGGGTTTGCAGAAGGCAATATCCTCGGATGCGCTGTGGATGGCCATGATGGTGCAATCATTTCCGCAGGGTGATGAAGAATAACAGGGGAGCGATGGGGGTGATGACATAACAAGCCTCCGAACGTAAAAATGACTGATGTCCTCGGTGGAGACATTGCGCTCGTTGTCGTGGAGAAAGATTAGGAACTGTTTGATGAGAGGAGGGGAAGGGGAGAGGTGATCGGATTTGAGGAGGCGAACGGCGGCGACGGAGGGGAGGGTTTCGACGGAGGGGAGGGGAACGTAGGGGAAATCAGGAGTGTCCATTAAGGGGTTGTAGAGATAAGGGTGGCAATTGCGAGGGTGGTTAAAGGCCAGCCAGCCATGAGAAGAGCCCACACATGGGGCGGCGTCAGGCGTTAGGAGGTCCCTCTGCCACGGAATCCTAAGACTCTTCGGAACCCTAAATTGGCTCTGTTCCGAAAGGCTGAAGAAATGAAAATAGTCCTTGTCCGAGTACTCATCTGAATTTTTCTGATCAACAACACTAACCCCGGGAGGTACAAAAAGCAGTGGTGATGGGGTACTTACAGGTGGAGGAGTTGGAGAAGAAGAACAGTGTCGCCGCCCCATCGGCGAAAAGTGCGCAGCTTTTTTTAAGCATCCGCCCCCAAGGAGCAAGCCGCCGCCACGACGGGTACTGGAGTATTGGAAGCTCTTCAAACCGGAACAATTGCACCATGATTTTAGCATTGACCGGTGGAAATTCAGCATCCGATCCCCAAAACTCGTCCAATTAGCCATCTCTCTTTCTTTAGCCGTCGCCACTAAATTGGTGATCTAGAACCCTAATTTATTTCACTCTGTTCGTGACTTAGAACCTTTATTTATACTTCCGTTTGATAATAATTTAGATATCACTCAAAATATTAAAGTTTAATTTAATTTACTAGGAGTACTCAACTCACTTGGTTCAGGCTTCAACTCACTCACACATTGTTTCATAATGAACGTGATGTTGTGAATCATGTTTTCAAAACACTGACAGTAATTATGAGAAGAAATGAACACTATTCAATCCAAAAAGGTAATTCTGACTTCTCATACTTCTAATACCTAATTAACTTTTTCATTCATATTTATTATAATACTTCTACTTAATGCCTTGATAAATTAAATAGTTGTACTGAATTATTAGATTTATTTTTTTAATTAATTGATTAATAATTATATAATAAATAAAAATATAAAATTATTGAATATAAATAATTAATTAAAAATTATTTAATTAAACACGTCACTGTCAACCAAGGTCAATCAATTCCATTTATTTTTGGATTGGAAGTATTCAATTTAAATCCATAACTTTCAGATTTGACTCAAGTCGGGAACACCCGAGTTGCACTCTTGTAAGTCGTGACGTAAATAAAAAGAATTGTAGTTAAATTAAATAATAAAATAAAACTACTACTACTTTTATTCTTCATGTATCAATACAACAAAAACAGAAATTTGTAATTAGGGTTGTAGCCTTGTAGGTCACGAAATAGAGGCGTTGCCCGCAGAAAGGGAGGGAGAGAAATGGCTAACTGGAGGAGTTTTGGCGATGGGATGCTGAATTGCCGCCGCTCTATGCTAAAAACATGGTGCAATTATTCTAATCCGGCCAGATTCCACCACTCGACAAGTGGTGGTGGTGGTCTGCTCCCTCCGGTCGTATCATCATCATCGGAGTATTATCTTCGTCTTGGAGACAGATTATTCGGTGCCTTGAAAAAATGTGCAACCTTTCCGTCAATCCAACATTGTTTTTCTTCTTCTGGTGAAGCAACAACAGATGTAGTAGTAGTTGATCAAGAGGAGGCGGTAAGAGGACCCCTCCCTCTCGGATCAGCACCGTGCCTGATGCTACCCGCCGGCTCTGGTTTGGTTGCTAACGGAGAAAGGTTTAAACTTGTAACAATGGAGGGAGAGAGGGATTACTACCGATTCTTTAGCCTTATGGAGAAGAAAGTGGTGAAGATGAAGACGAATCTTATGTTTCCATGGCAAAGGGAATTACTTCCTCCACACGATGCCATCTGCTTCGGTTCCTCTCGTGGATGGCTCTCCTTCATTCACCCTCAAAATTGCTCTCTATACCTTTTCAACCCATTCATACACTCTTATCTTCCTTCCCTACCCCTCCCTCCTATCGAAACCCTACCTTCTTTCATCTCAACTCTACGATACTGCCGTAATTCCAATATTCACAACTCCTCATCGTCGTCGTCATCATCAATAGCTACTAATTATAACAACAATATTGTTACTGAGTTTACCATTTGGAATCAGGTCTCGCCCATATCATCTCAAGATCTGAGTCATTCACATTTCTTTAAGAAGATTGTTTTATCCTCAGACCCGTCCCCATTCCCTTCCAATCATCTTCATAATGAAAAGAAGAATTCTTCCGACTCTACTGTCATGGTCATCCAAGGCTACGGGGAAAACAAACTGGCCTTCTGCAGAATTGGGGACACAGCTTGGACTGCTTTAGATGGAGCAGATAAATCATACCAAGATGTGGTATATTTTAGCAAGGACCAAAAATTTTATGCTTTGTCCACCAATTATAACTGTGTAGAAGCTTGGGATCTTCGCAACCCTGCCTCTCCAGAGAATGGTCTCATAATTTCTCATTTGCCTCCTTGGGTACACCCCACAATGGACATTCACCAAACCCAGCTGAGACGTTGTTGCAGTCCCGATCGTTATCTGGTGGAGTCTTTGGGGGAGCTGTTGATGGTTGTTAGGTACTATTCTCACAATGGAGACTACCATCCTGAAATTATTTTTGAGGATTATAGCCAGCCCAAGAAGACCATTATGTTTGATGTCTACAAGCTAGACTTTGTTAACAAGGACTGGGTACTCTTGCCAACTTTAGGCGATGACAGGGCGTTGTTTATTGGTCTTAATGACTCCGTCTCTGTCCCTGCCATTGATTTCCCCGGGTTGGCCATGAATTGTGTTTACTTCACTAGTCCTCATGTCCAATTTCCCCAAGACTCTCATGATTTGGGTATCTTCAACTTGAAGGATAACACTATCACTCCAATTTACCATTATGACTTGAAGATTCAACTGCCTTCTCCGTGGATTGTCCCTGCAGCTCAGCAATGAAGATCGGAAATTGAAGGAAGCTCTTGTTTTGATTATGCTAACTTATACTAGGAAATATTTGGTATGGCAGTCCAGAATCTTTAGATTATTTTCGTAATGCTAACTTAGTCTAGAAATGTATATCATTAGATTGTTTTCGTTATGCATTCAAGTTTATTTTAAAACATTGGAACAAAAATAAAGGATTTGGTGAGGGGAAGGAGGGTTTCACTAACTCTATGAAAAGTGTTTTTTTGTATCCTTTTTAAAGTTTGAGGAAATGGATGGAAAGGATAGGATAATTAATAAAACTTTCGTAATACACATTACCCCTAAGTTTATAAAGCATAATTCCTTACAGTGTTTGGATTGCCGGGATTTGGAATTCAAAACAGAATTCATATATATATATATATATATATATATATATATATTTCTTATTTGGACCAATTTAAAATGGAACTGGATTTCATAGGATTTAAAATTCCAAAATCTTCCAATCTATGAGCATAAAATGGTAAAAGAAAATTTTCCTTTATGATTAGATTCCAGCTTATTCTGATATCATGTTGTTGACAGAAAGTTACAAGCGTTAGAAATTTAGTGTGAATGGAAGTTGTTAATCAATGATTCTCTAACTGGAGTGGTATTTATTGATACAATTTGTGAAGAGATGTGACAGTAGTACGTTGAGCCATTGCAACCCATGCCATTGCATCTGATGATGGTAAACATGCAAGTGACGTGACTGTTAAAAGAAGTAAAAGCTACTTAGTTAATCTGGAAAGGTGCGATATAATGAAAAGAGGCAGCCAATCCAACAGACACCACTTTTGTCTATGAAGAGACATGACCAATTCAAGAGACACCACATTTTCTATAAATACCTCAGGCTGTTATCATTTTCAATTCGTACAATTTTCCATTCTTCTCTCCCTCTCTCAACTTGAACCCAACCCAAGTAGGTGTGGGTTCAAGCCATGGTCAAGTGGTCTGAGCCACTTAGGCCCAAAACCAATTTCATTGAGCCATATTAAATTTGATCCGAGCCATTTGGTTCGGATTGCACCCAATTCATTATTTATATAGTATAGATGCATTTTTGAGTCAGAGAGAGTATTACACGGAAAAGGTTCGTCGTATCCACGAGTTTGTATTACTGCTACTGGTGGATGTAGACCGTTGCATCCTGGGAGATAGATGCCACTGAGTCCGTTAGCACCATAGCGGGGCGAATCTGTCTTAAGGACATAATATCCAATACTAGCCTCGGTCCAGGTTCTTTATTTATTATTTATTATTTTATTTTACATATTTAATTAAATATATAGTTGCATATTTAATTAATCATTTCTTAGCATATTGTTAATTATCTCATAGCATATTAGTATAATGATTGTTATATCTTAAATGTCACATGAAGCATATATTTTTACCAACAATCTTAAGACAAATTCGCTCCTTGCATAGATTTATTATATGTTTCTATTTAAGATATAAATAAGTAGATATTATACTAATAGTTGAGATATGATAAAATAATGTTATATACATTATTATATGATAATATGTTATTAATGCATTCAATGTTATGTGAAATTGAAGCATGTTATATTACTAAATTATTGAATTATTTATATAATTCAATATTGGTTGAATTATTTTAATTTTGTAATATAATATTATGTAGTATATTATATTATCTTAAATTTGTGCCAACTAGAGATAGGAAAAGGTATTTCATTCTTTTTATCAATGATTGTATAAGATGATGTTATCTATATCTGTTACGTAGCATGATAAAGTCTTAGAAATGTTTAAACATTACAAAAATGAGGTTGAGAATCAACTTAACAAGGTGTTAAGAAATGATAGAGCTCGTGAATACAAATCATCATTTGCTGATATTTATTCAGAACATTATATCATTCACGAAAAAATGATGAATGATATGTTGACAAGTTCTGGTTTAACTCAGAATTTGTGGGGAAAAGTTTTGTTTTCCGCAAATTATGTTATCAATAAAATACCTCAAAAGAAACTAATGTGACATCATATAATTATGGAAAGGTTAAAAACCTTCCTATAAATTCTTAAAAGTGTGGGGGTGTCTATTTAATGTTGTAGTTCCTACTCCTAAGAAAGTTAAAATGAAATCTAAAATGTGATGACCTTATAAGTGGGTTTGTCGTCGACGGGTGCAAGAGGCACCGACAGGCTACCACACTAGGCGATTTACAGGTGCACAGTCTCACATCGCCTAGGTAAGGTAAGTGTGAAGTGCTTTTATGTGGTGGAGTGAATCATTACATAAAACATTTGATAGGTTATGCTCATAACAATATTGCATATCATTTTCTTATACATACAATGAAAATAAGGATGAACTTAGATGTAATAAGAGGGCTAAAACGTCTAAATCTTTTGGTCCTGATTTTCTAGCATGTTTATTGGAGAATGAGCCATAAATATTTTTTTTTTAAATTAATCATATGATATAATATGAAACTATATTGTTATGAATATTATTTTTATAAATGTTTACTTTTATTTGATACTATAATATTGAACTATGTAGTTAAATTACTTAATGTGCATTGTAATTCAAATTTACAACATAATTTATTTAATATGTGATATTATTGAATTTTGTATGAATT